GGCTGTCCCCGCCGGGAGCGAGAGGCCCCTGCCCTCCCCGGCCGCGGCCGAGCCCCGGCTCCCAAGGGAGCATGGAGACAGATCAGCTTTTGTCTGCGGCCTGGCGTAATCGCCGTGGACGGCAGCCAGAACCGCCGGGCTGGGGCGGGCCGCCCGCGGAGCAGCCAAATCCCAGTCAGATGAGGAGCTCGGTCCGCAGCTTTCCCCCGCTCCGCCGTCTGTAGCCGTGTGGAAGCAGCGAGCGAGCGCTGCAGTCGTGAGCTGTCGGGAGGTATGACACCAACGCGCAAGGTAATCGCCCTGTCGTTTTCTTTGGTAGCCGAGAGCTGCAGCTAGCGGGTGGCTAACGGGTGTGTTTTCTGCTCCGACTTAAATGAAGAAAGTGCGTGTGCTGTGGTATTAAACACGGGAAAGCTCTCTGTAGCTGCCGTAAGGCTTTATGAAAGTTGAACATCTCTGTCATAAAAAAATCGTGAACCGTTGAGAAGAATCCCAATGGCTGGAGACGGAAGGCAAAAATCTGTGTTTTAATACAATAATAACTTCATTTCTTTGGCACCTTTTATTCCTGTAGTGTAGTTTACTAAATTTTGCAAAGGAAATCAAATTCAGCCCATACTAAGAATGGAGTACCAGCCCCTGCTGAGAGGGTCTAGCACGCACAGCAAGGTAAGCAGAACTGTCTTGGTCTCTGAAGATGGATCCTGCGGAGAGTTTGAGCTTTAACCATGATGCACAAATGTGAAACTCTCTGTTTCATGTTTACTTTTAAATAAAAATACAGTAGATGATCAGGCTTGTAGAGTTTTGTGTTTTCCTTAGACGCCTAGCTGTGTTATAAAATGGAAGCTGTAAACGCACGTTTTCTGATTCTTATGTTTTACATTGAATGTAAATTGAATTTTGTTTGTGGCATGTTTCTGAAATGAGGTGAAAGTTTTTATAAACTGTCAGGAGTTAAGTAGCTTACAGAACGGATAAGGCTGTTGCCCGTGCTCTGAGCAATCGTGGCCCAAACTCCAATGTGACACAACGTGTTAGTGTAATGAGCAGACTGATTGGGCAGGAAGAACGGAGCTGTCATAACAAAACGTAAGTTATGTGATGTACGTTAACGATTCTGGGGGTTTTTGTTAGTTTGTTTGTTTTCTGTCTCTTCTAGATTCCAGATTGTACCCATGAGACACACAAAATACCTTGACAGTATTTGGTTAATGGAAAGGTCAGAGTGTGCAGTGCCTATATTTACCACCTCTAGTTTTATTTTTCTACCGTACTCGCTGCAGCCCTTATTTATTACTCCTAATTCATTGCTTTGGTTGTCATTCAGAGAAACACTTTTTATTCTCGGGAAACCATAAGGAAATATTAATTGGGTTTTACTTTAATAAGATCAATTTCAACTTTTTCTGAATTTCATTCCTGAATGAAGGAAATTTTGATGAATTATCTTCAGGAAAGACACAGCTCTTTCAGAATACAGTATAGCATCTGGAATAACTCAACATTTCTGGGAACTGGACCAAGAATGAGAATGATGAAGAACTAGTCTATATACCTTACAATGAGAAATTCAGGGAGTACAAGCTTATAAAAAAAAATTACGTACAGTCTTTATCTATGAAGGAAGAGGAAATTTGATCACAGAATTGCCTTTAATATGGGAGACATTGTGGTGTCCAGCTGAAGTTAGACAGAAAGATACTATGAGATAAAATTAGGACCTAATTTTTAATGAAAGGGTTGTTAAATATTTGAACTGGATGTTATTTTTAGTACTATCATATTCAATAAAAAGTAGAGTCAAGAAGCATCACATCAGAAAGCCAGACACTGTATAAACCTCTAGAGATCTTCTCTGACCCAGAGGCCTCATCCAAAGTATAATATTTTATGACCAATTAGACTCTCTTGAGATTCGAATGTATCATAATAGTGGTTTCTATTGACCTTAAAACCTATGAGTCTATGAATCTATTAATTTTAATTCCTAAATATTGATTTAGAAATGTAACTAGGTAATCAGTATTGAAAAATTAAAAAATACGTGCTAATAAACTTTAGATTAAATACTATTATCAGTGAACAATATTTTGTGATTTAAGATACTAAGGTTTAGCACCTGCTAACTTGCAGACATCTAGTAATCAACTTAGGGACTTGCTGAGGGAAATAAAATATTGTTATTTCTCACATCTCAGATGAAATGTGAGTCGTAGGAATTGGGATTTGGTTAATTCTTATACTGAGTCATTGTGCCTCTAACACCAAACATAAACAGTCCTAACATTCTTTCATAAAAAATAGACACCGTGAGCAGCGTGGTTCATGCAAAAAGTATTTACACAGTTCAGTAAATACGCCGTCAGCAGTGCGATGGTTGTGTTGCCTACAGTTAATCTGGATACTTGTAATTGTTGCATCTCTGAAAGACGTTAGTGATCATGGCCAAAGTCAGCGTGAAATGTTTCTCGGGCTGCAGGTGTTTCAGAGTTTATGTAGTTTTCTAAACAAATACTTTCACTGTTCAAAACTAAATACATGACATATTTCACCGTGATTTTCTCCTAGATATTATATGCATGTGGGTTCAAGGCCCTAACTCTTTTCATGCCCGTTACTCTCCTCTGTTCTCTAGCTCCCCAGCTGGACCTTGTTTCTGGCTGTTTGTGCTGTTGGAATTGGAGGGACCTTTCAGTATGGGTATAATGTGTCCATTATCAATGCACCCACCCAGGTAAAATATCGTCTCTTGTTCACAGCGTTGTTTTACAGTAATGGAGGTATCCTGTCTAACTGGCCGAGAGGCCACATGCACTTTTACTGCAATCGCAGTGGGAACCAAGGCAGGCTTCCTCTCATGTCAAGGATTCTTGTTGATTTCCAAAATGGTTTCGTGTGGATCTGTTTGTGAGTACCTCCCATCAGAGGTATTCTGTGTCAGATAAAAGTGCCAAATATGCCACATAAATACCTCTGTTAAAGTCTGTTTTAGAAGGATTAACTGAATGAATAAGTAACGTCTTCCAAAAGTTACACTTTTGACTAAAAGAGCCCAGAACATTAAGAATAGAATGGAATAGAACAGAACATTTTCAGTTGGAAGGGACTTACAATGATCATCTAGTCCAACTGCCTGACCACTTCAGGGCTGACCAAAAGTTAAAGCATGTTATTAAGGGCACTGTCCAAATGCCTGTTAAACACTGACAGGCTTGGGGCATCGACCACCTCTCCAGGAAGCCTGTTCCAGTATTTGACCACCCTTTCTGTAAAATGTCACCACCATTTCTCCTAATGTCATGTTTAAACCTCCCCTGATGCAGCTTTGAACCATTCCCACGCGTCCTGTCACTGGGTAACAGGGAGAAAGGATAGTTACAGTTGTCCATCACAAGGCAACTTACTGAGAAAGATCTTCTTAGAGAGCCAAAAAGTTGCATCTGTAGTGTCTGAGTATCTCGTAGGTATTTTCACTTGTTACTTTTGCGTCCATTGCCATGGCCTTGAGGATTCTGCATATTTTGTGGATGACTCGAGGATCTGAGCAAATGGTCTTGTGAAAGTGATGGGTATCATTTTCTGCTGTCAGCTGATTTTTTTCTTGTGAAACTGTGAAGTTTGAATTTGCTACAACATGGTATGCTTTTTACAAAGGTTAAAATAAGCTGTTTGTGAAAGAACATATAACATGCTGGAAACAGAGGGAGAGTCCAGGAAGTTTGTTCTTCTGTTAAGTCTTCGTTTGCTGGCTAAGAACAGGAGCCTCTGATTACAGATACCTGTCAGTTCAAGAGTTTCTAAAGACAACTTTGAGGAAACCAAGCATGTGGAATAACAGTTTAAAAGTTCTGACACATGAATACTGTAAGAAAGGCGGAGGAATATTAGAGTTGCAGAAAGGGATTTTACTATGAATTGTTGGATGTCACTAAGGCAGGGAGATTAAAACCAAGTGTCAGAATGAGTCTCCTGACAGTGAAATTTGTTATGTGAGACCTCTGTGCTCTGAGATGTTCCTAAAAAACAGTAGGACCTGCGTCCTAAAGTGCGCAAACATCCACCCTGTCCCCCTTCTGAGGTTCAGAAGGACCTCAAAGCTCTTTTGTAGCAGTTATATATTCTCCTCTAGTGCAATACAGCCTCTCCTGAGGTAGGGTACGAAAGCAAAGCTGCTCAGCAGCTTTGGGATGTATGGGGAGTAGGAAACGGTATTGTGGTCAAGATTCTGCTAGTCATCAGTGTTTTTAATATAATACAACTAAGATGATCTCTTCTGTTAGCTCCCAGAATTGGTTTTCAGGATTGAGGTGCAAGTTATTTATAGTGCTATGCTGTAGGGCTACACATAATGCTACACATTCATCGTTCTTTTCTACTGCAGCATATACACAGGTTCTTAAATGAAACCTGGACTAGTCGTTACCACAAGGAACTACATCCAGGTTTGCTGACTTTTCTTTGGTCTGTCATTGCTTCTATATTTTCACTTGGAGGCCTGTGTGGAGCTCTTACTGGAGGCAGCATGGCGATTCGGCTAGGCAGGTGAGTTACAGCAGCAGGCACATAGCAGCATGTTTTCCTTTCCTACTTTCTCACTGGAATATAAAGTAAATAAATGGAAAAAGAGTGGGAGAAAATGTACCTTAGGTGACTATAAATGTTTTTTACTTCAAAGCAGAGTTTTCTAGTAGAATTTTACAGTGTGTTCCAATGTGACTTTAAAAGATGAGCCCTGAATTATAGCATTCCAGTCTAGTCTTTCCATTACATTTATTGAAATCTAAGTAGGAGTATGCACATATGGTATGGTGGGAAACGCAGGTCCCCTATCAACATTTGCAGCTGTCATGCCAGTAAGGACATGCTGCGCAATCTGTAACATTTCATGCGCGTTCTGTATAGATATAGCATAAATGAACAAAACCCCACTCCTACCTTGTCAGGCATTTCTGTCATATTTATGCAGTATCCTTATGTTTAGACATTTTTTAAAAATATGAGTAAATAGTTGTGTCAGATATCTGGATTTCCAGTGAATAGCACTTTTCTTCAGTATAAAGCCCATTTTTTCCATATTACCAGAGTGGAAAACTTTTTAAAAAACGTTATTGCAGATTTCCTTAATTTTTTTTTCTTTTTTTTCTCCTTTTTAGGAAAGGAGCTCTTTTGATGAATAATATTATAGCAATACTGGCCTCCATTTTAATGGGGATCAGTTTTCCTACAGGATTGTTTGAGTTACTGATTGCTGGAAGGTTTTTGATTGGCATAAATTCAGGTGAATGATTTCCTATTCCTACTTTCAATAAACTACGGTGAATGATAAATGATTGTTACTGCCAATTATTTAGGTATTATGATATCTGTTTGTACGCTGCTTTGTAGATATGATGACAAAAATGTTCTGTAGTCTAACTTGGAATCTGACGGCAGCTAAATTAATAGAGAGATTAACTAAGTCCAATTTCCTACATGTTTTGGTTCAGTAACTCTTTTCAAAGCAAAATCTATTAATAGGAGAATGTTTTTCCATTTACTTGCAGGTATTGGGCTCTGTGTGCAGCCTCTGTATATCGGGGAGGTTGCCCCAAAACATCTTAGAGGTGGCATGGCCATGGGGAGTTCCATCTTTCTGACTGGGGGGATTCTGACAGGACAAATAATTGGTTTGAGGTTAGAAATGCATTTTTTTTCCTGCCTTGCGTTACTCGCATGTAAAGAATTCCAATTCCCTGCAGCTCCCTGCAAAACACTCATTGTGGCCATTGTAGCATTAGTGAATCAACTTCACACATAAGGTCTAACTGTAAGAAGAAAAGCCTGCTTTTGTCACCTTATTCCTGCCGCTGCAAACCATCTGTACTATCTCCCCAGGGAAGTATTCTCAGTTTAGATGGGTCAGCCAGAATAGCATCAGTAAAACAGGTACATTTATGCTGAGTTCATATTTTCTGCCACTTTCTTGCTGGAGATGGTGGACGTTCATAAGACAGGACTTGAGAGCAAAGGACTCATAATTTCTGTATTGTAGCACTACTGCTGGTTTTGTCCCTTGTGAGATCAGATTAAGTTGAAAGGGACTTCACTGAGTTGGATCTTAAAAAGTACCAAGAACAGAGACTGCACAAACTGAAGATGAAAAGCTGTTTTCATGAAGTCTGCTAGAAACTTTCCACTGCCCTAAGAGCAACTGCTAGTTCCCTGAGTAACAGCACATTATGTTTTTTCTCTGTCCCTCTACCAAAAGCACTTAGACTGCTCTTTTTTCCTTATTACTAGCTTCTGAATTAACTGATTTTGCTAGATACTTTAGGTGTGAAGTGCTACAAAATAAAGTAGAATATAAACTTCAGACTGCATAATCTAGGGTCAGTATTTAAAATGCAATGCAGTTTCTATTTTAACAAGTTTACGTTGCCCACAACACATCATCCTGCTGATTCTAACTGTACCAATTTTAATGATTCCTTTCTATGTGATACACCTTCTCATTAGATCAACTTTGAATGGGAGCTGGGATCAGATGACTTTCTGAGTTCCTTTCTATCCTAAATTATTGAATGATTCTCAAAAGCAGATGGAAATGCTGCTGCTGACCTTAAGGTGAAGTCCGTATGCTACTACTTTCCTGCATCGCTAGAAAACACTGCTTTGGCAAACCTGAAAATAATGGTTAGGACCAACACAGCAATAAGCAGCTGTAAAGTAGTGTTGCTCATCTCTTCCTGAGTGAAACCTGGTTTCAGAGTGGCTGGAAAATATTTTCCCAGCCTCTTCTGCTGAGGTTCACAAGACGTAGGTAACTGGTTACAAGGGAACTTTTCTTGAAGGATGAACATCTTTCTCCCAAAAGTCTTCTGAATAGTCACCAATAGCTAATTACTTCCTTTTTTTTTTCCCTTCTTTTTACACATCTCTCCCAGGGAATTATTAGGTGGAGAAACGTATTGGCCTCTGTTGCTGTCCAGCAGCTGTTTCCCAGCATTTGCCCAACTTTTATTCCTGCCATGGTTTCCTGAAAGTCCCAGATATCTTCTTATTGACAGAGGTGATGAGCTGAGCTGTGCCAAAGGTGACTTACAATGTTTATACTTTCTCTGTGTCTTCAGAAGGGTACAATGAGTATATTGGGTTCCAGATTCTCCTTTTCTCTTTATCAACACAGCACAGTTTTATCGCCTAGTGCTTTTTGGCCCATGTTTTTCCTCCGGTGAGCTTACATGGAAAAAGGGATTGTGGAACTCAGGAGTCTATAGAGGATTGTGAACAAAACTTCATTATCTCATTTCAAATACATGTTCATGTTTTGTAACTCTCTGATGAAATCTCTAAAGGTGTTTTACTTCCTAGAGAGAACCGGTGGAATACTCCTCCGAAGAGTAAAGTATTAGTCACTGTAAGTAAGCAGGTCTGATTAATTAATTCAGTTTGAAGGTCTGCTAAATAAATATGAAAAGACCCTCTCTAAAATAATAACTAAGTCATAAAATTGAGAGGACAGAAGAACTTAGAAGAGATCCCAGTGTACAAATCTGGACAATAAAATAGTCAATCACATATTTTTCAGAAATGTGTTCAGTGTTTCTACTTCTGCCTGGTATGATAATTCTGATGTAGTTCACAGTGACATAAAATGACACGTGATCCCTGGATATTCCATTTAAAATGCTAAATAAATGAGAAAAACAAACAAAGGAAGTTTACCTTGTTAGCATTTGATAGGGTTGTAGTTAGTTCAATTTTCATTGTATGCATAAATAAAGGAAAAACATTTCTTCTTTTGCTTTTCTTCTGTTAATTCTTTTGAAGTGCTGTTGATGAGCGTATGAATTTTTAATTGTCTGGAAAAGGTATTCGTAGATAGAACAGTGTATCTTGTGGAAAGATCTTCAACAAAGGAAGTTAAAGAGGCTTAATTCATGGAAGCCTTTAGGCCAAGGTAAAATTTGTTAGGAATTACAGAAGAGGCGGGGTTCACAGAGAGAGGTGAAATCTTGTATTATACCAGATAATTAAAAAACAAACAGACAAAAAAGTTATGTTTTTAGATAAAGCCATCTGTGCCTGCAGGCCTGTCTCCTTCCCTGCCCCCAAGTTTGTCAGTTGATCTAATAAAAATGGTGCTCTCTCTGCTTACCTCGCCCAAAAATATTCGTAGACCATCACAACTGCAAAAGCAGAGTAACTACAAATGACCTATAGAGTTAATTCTGTCTGATTTGGAAGCCATGGGCAAGATGACCATGAAGTCCCTTTCGGATTATGACTTGGTTTGGGCTTCATTAAATGTAATTTTTTAAATGTAAGTGAAGCTTGCAATGTCCGTATCATATTCAAGTCTTTCCCTCTCGTTTTTTTTTTAAATAATATAATCATGGATTTTTTTTTTCCCCAAGAATTGTGGTTTCTCCTGAACCGATACTGAAGAGTGGCTAGAGCTTCAAGCTGGTTATGTGGCTAGGGATAACAATAGCATTGGAGTGTTTGCTTTCAGGATCATCAGAAGTTCTGCTGTTGCCCTTAAGCAGACAAATTTTCACTTATGATATATTTAATCTTGAAAATTTTAGAGGAACTGATGTTATATACTGCTAGGTTTTAGGACCATTAGTAAAGATTTTAGTCTTGCATGCAAATGACTTCTGATAATACTTGCCTTAGAGGAATTACTTACCATCTTTACTCCAGTTCACTAAATGCGTTCCACTGGCAAAATCAAAGACAGGGACATAGCAAAAGACTTGATATCTGCCTAGGATTTAAGCAAAAGACTTCAAACTGGTTAGAATGTCCTTTAATGAAAAGACTATTTGGAGGTCTGTGGTTCAGATATAAAACACTTAAAAATATTTTGCTTGGTGAGTATTTCAAAGTCAGATATTCCTCTAAAAAAAGCGAAGTAGTGCCACTGAAATCTCCACATCCACCACAGCAAAAATGTTGGAAAACCGTGAAGCAAAAAACAAGTCACAAAGCAAGTGACTTTTTTCCCACCTTCCTAAAGCAGAAAGTTTTGATATCCTAGCAAAAGCCAGGTCATTATGGAAAGAGATGATTTTCCAGAAGTTGCGGTCAATAGGTAAACATAAGAGAATTTATTTTCTTCTTTTTTTAGCTTTGAAGCGATTTCATGGTTCTTCAGAGTATGGAAGGGAGATGGAAGACATACAGCAGGAATGTTTTGCCTTAGATGGGGAGAAACCCAAGAAGCCCTGGCAATTATTCACTGATCGTGGTGTGAGATGGCAGCTCATTACGGTGATTGTGATGACTATGGGCCAACAGCTCAGTGGGATAAATGCTGTAAGATTTCATACATACAAACAGCTTAAATAATTATTTTTCATCTGTTTTTCAACCTTTTATTAACATGAAGGATCCAGATAGAGCAGCTCAGAGAAATGGGATAAGTGGGAAAGAATGTCTTTGTATTATTTCTGTGTTTCTCTTTTTTCATTTCTGTGTTTCTGGTATGTAAATTTCTTTAAAGAATGACTTAATACTTGTGTTTACATCTGAAAAAGTAAATAAAAGTGGATCAGCTTATCCCATTGTGTCTGGTTTAAGAATGTGAAGTATTGTATTCAGTAAGTATTTGCTTTTATGATAGCAGTCTATTTACCTAGACATGAATTTAACAGATTCTTCTTGCTGTTTACATCAAATTAATAACTCACAATATAAAATACATTGAGCTATATCTAGTATGAACTTGACTTTGTTTCCAGCTGACGATTTAACTACTGGGAACGCCCCGTTATTTTTTTTTTCTGTTGTAGATTTATTTTTATGCAACTTATGTTTTTGAACAAGCTGGGATCTCGGCAGAAAAAATCCCGTATGTGACACTCGGCACTGGAGCTTGTGAATGCCTCACAGCCCTCACCTGTGTAAGTAACAATTTATTCTACCTCCTAGCATAAAGTGTAACGATTCTTCTTGAAGAACAACATCGGTAAATATCAGATCAATATAGTAACAGAAAATTATGTCTTGTCCACAGGGTTTACTGATAGACTACGTGGGAAGAAGATATCTCATCATTGGGGGTTATCTCCTTATGACCCTTTGGAGCATTGTTTTAACGTTCTCTCTGACCTACCAGGTGTAAAGAAGGACTCATTTATATTACATGATGACTATAGTGAGTGAAAATCTGTGACACTCAAAAGAAGCTGGAAGATGAGAGCTGCATAGGTTTTAACAGCAGCATAAAAAATGACAGCAGTTGAAAGATTTGATCAATTCTGCAGCCGTATTTCCCTAAAATGAGAGAATGCTCTCAGCTAAGATTTGATCATGTATTTGTCTTAAAGCTGCAGCTGCGTTTAATGCTGACAAAACTAAGTGATGACAAAACAGCGTTTATTCTAGCTTTTAAAATAATTTTAGGATGAAGTACTACATAGTGATGATATTAAGCATCAGGGTCCACTTCAGTCACTTAATTGTAAAGCAAACAATCAAACAAAAAGTATTGTAAAGATGCTGAAATTCAAAAGACACTTAAATCCATTAAGTGTAAATTCACAAATACTATTGGAAACTCACTAGATGTGTTCACAGTGCCTTAGATTTATCATGCGAAGGCAACATCCTGCCTCGCTTTTTGATGTAGAATAGAGAGATGTAAATTGTTCTGTATACCCTATCAGCTCAAATAAGGCAGCCCCACAAACCTCCTGAAATGAACGTTTAGAGCAAATCTATCTCTACATTTGTAGAGTGTACTGTACTAAATATTTACTGTTACCTTCAGGTAATCCAAGCAAGATGATGTAGGTGTAGCTCCAACAGCGAGCAACTCGATTTAGTCAGTATTTGGTTGCCTGATAAATCCTTATCTGACAAAGGTAGGATTAAAGAGCTGCAAGTCTTTCCCTACCCACACCATCAGTGTTTGGAGCTGGCTTTAAACAGGTGGATCACGTGCAGTCACGTTGCAGGTCTGATGTTTGGAGGGACAGTAGGGCTAGGGGCTGCACAGATTGGCAAGCAGGCCACAGAAGAGGCACCTACAGTAATTTCTGTGTGGTTGGAGTAAAGTAAGCTGCTAGGCCAGGCAAAAAGTAGAATGAGCCAGCCATTAGGCAGAGGCCTAGGTTTAATTATTTTATTGGAACATTTGTAAATTTCTTGGTTTGCTTTTGGATTTCAAGCTTAGGTTTGGTCTTTCCAATGCACCTAGTTTCATATGTATATAGTAATCCTAATGTTTCTTTACTGCACTATTGAAATTTATCTATACATAAATAATGTGGTAAGTCTTTTCATGCTATGAAAGTGCTCAATGACAGCTAACTCATGGGATCAGTATAAAATACCAAAGTAAACACTCACAAAATGTTAAACACATAATTGTTATATTCAATATTGATGTAAATTTTTAGCCTTGGAGGACCGATCATAAATCTCGACAGAAGTACTACTCCATTTAGTGGAAATTATTTAATGAACAATATTTAATTTCTCTGAAGCAGTACTGTTAAATAAATTGGCTGGGGGGAGCCATGACTGACTGTTGGTCTTAGTTGCATAAAATAGCAAAAGGAAATGTAACTGTTAACCCAAACTTTAAAACTGGATTATCAAAATCCGAACTAAACCTTCTCATTCTCTTCTGTTCCAGGAACTGTACTCATGGGTGCCTTATGTGAGCATGACATCTGTATTTGCCTTCATCTTGAGCTTTGGGTTGGGACCAGGTATTACACAGTAATGAATGTTTTAAAGTGGCGAAATGTGTGTCTGGGGCCGGGGGGGAATGTCAGCAGCTCTGCTGTGTAAGCCAGGCAGTAAGTATTTACTGTAAGGCTGCTGATGCTCTGGCTAAGGAACGCAAGTGAGCCCGTCTCATCAGAACAGCTTAGTCTCCCATAGCCTGAAACTGAGCAACTCAGTTTTTCCAGCATTGGAAATACCGCAAATGGACATTTAGAATAATAACCTGTTCTGTTTCTGGAACTCATTCCCTCAGGTGGCATAACAAATACCCTGACAGCTGAATTATTTATACAGTCTTCACGTCCTGCTGCTTACATGATAGGAGGGACTGTTAGTTGGATTAGTTTCTTCACAATTGGAATGCTCTTTCCCTTCATAGTGGTAAGTAAGCATAACACATTTTCCTAATTGCCTCACCTCCCGTTCATCTTCTCTCAGGTTCCATCAAATTGCTTTTTCTTATACAGTAACACTTAAACATAGGATGCACCCCACCCCTCGACTGAGTATAACTAGATTCAGTCCCTCTTCAAATATTTTTTAGATATTAACAAAAAATAATAAAACACAATAAATGAAAATTAAAAGGAATGCATGGGGGTAATTTTCATGTTCAGATTAAAAAAATGGAGAAGGTATCAAAACTAGAAAAACTTAATCAGATATTGAGATTCAAATAACACATTTCTTAATAGTGCCTTGTGCTTTTATGTCAAAGTAAAGTAGAAGTAGTACCTGGGGCTAGTGGTTCACATCTTCTCTGAGAGCTCACACTAACATACAGAGGGTTCCGTGATCAGGAAGATTATTAGGAAAAACAATGTAGGCTTTCATTTCTAGCTTTGTATTTTCAGTTTTAGCACTTATTCTTGAGAGGAAAACGTGCAGGAACAGCACGCAGCAGGGTATCTTGATTTGACAGTGCTTTCTTCTTGGTTGAACTCTGCTTCTCAGTAAGATAGTTGGGGTTTTTTAATGTATAGCATTGAAAAATATTAATAAACATTCAGAAAAAGATAAATCATATAATCTTAAAATATGAGATGGCTAAGTAGCAAATGCTGACTTGTCATTACATTGTGAATTGTTTAGTTTGTGTTTAAACGGTTTATCTTTTTTTTTTAAATAAGACTACCAAGTGTATTGCACAGCACCTCGTAGTCTTTTATCTAAAAAAAAAAAAAAAAGTCACATGTAAAGTAAGGATAGGTTCAACGTCTTTTTATTAAAAATACCTGAGCAGCAATGTTAGGTGTGAGTGGGAATAAAAAACTTTTTATTTCCCCAAATCCACTGTTATACTTGAAATATGTTGCAATCAAATACATTTTTTTTTCAGAATGGACTGAAGCAGTATTGTTTTCTGGTGTTCTTACTGGAGTGCTCCTTAGTTGCTGCTTTCATCTTCCTCGTAATTCCTGAGACAAAAAACAAATCTTTTCTAGAAATAAAAAAGGAATTTCACAAGCTTAATTTTGGAAGAAATACCAAAAAAAAGGAAACAGAGCTTTATGAAAGAGGACAACTCCATGATGAATTTTAAAAAAATTCTGTGTAATTTCACAGCTGTAACAGAACTTAAATGAGAATTATGAACAGTGTCTTCTAAATTAGCAGTGTAATACCACGAACAAGTAGCTTATTAAATCCTCCTGTATATTTAGAGGAAGTTTAATTAAAGGCAAGTTAATCTTTCTGAAATGCTATTAAAACCGTATTATATTATACATAGAAGACTCAATGTTTAGTTACAACTTGATGTTGTAGGAATGCAGGAATGCCAGGAGAGGGTGTTCAATGAATTCCTCCCCCCGGCAGATTTCTTCTAATAATTCAGTAGCTCTTCTTTTATTTCTAAGCCCCTTCAGGTTCGGGTAATCAAGCATATGTTACTGCTTTACTGAATAAAATATTCTGAGGCATTAAAACCCAAACAAGAACTGACCTACTGAGAAATCAATACTTGAAATATTCTAGTTTATATATAAATTGGGGTATTTAGTTGCTGTTTTTCACTTAAATAACTTCTTTGAAAGATTTAAGGACATTCCTCATCTACTCCTACTACTGTAACTGTACAAAGCCAGTACAGCCCCTATCTGAATTACTGTTATTTGTAATAAAGTTTATTAGAAAGACTTGTTTCCTAAAAGGGTACTAATAAAAACAGTTTCTGGGTTTTGAGTTTGGGTTTATTTGTTTGCCCTAACCTAGCATCTTAACATTTTAAACTGTGCAACAGGGTAGAACCTCTTCTAGTTTTGAAGGTCAGTTCCCGGCAGACTGAGATCAACATCACAAAAAGCACTAAGTAGCAGAGAGGACAGATGATAGGAATTAAATACATTTCACCTTTAAAGGTTTTTCAAGGTGGTCTGATAGAACACACACAAGGAGACTACAGAGAGCTTGAAGGACCTTTTGAATGAGCTTTCTGCGTAATCGCCAACATTTTGTCCAGGACCCTTTCTCAACTTAAAATAAATTCTTCGTATTTTAGTAGTCAAAAAGTAAGAAATCTTAATTGCATATGGTGTTTGTGTGCCTCTCTGATACTCCTCTCCATACCTGTAACTGCTAGGACAGTAGTCCTACCTTACTTATGACAACTTTTTCTGGTTGTAAGCACTTCCCGATTCCAGCTGTTACTTAGTAAGTGCTACAGTAAGCACTGGATCTCTTTTATGTTTATCTTCCTTCTCTCAGAATTAAAGCTTTTAATGAAAACGTAGGAAGCAAACACCATTTTTCTGATTTTAGTAACTAAATCAGCTGTTTAATTGAAAATAACATTAACTCTTAATGGTGAAGGAGGCAGTATCAGGAAGGGATCTTCTTGTTCTTTAGTTTATCCTCTAAGTTTGCAAAATATTTCATTTTGGCTAGAAGTTTCTTAGCTTCTTGAAGATCATCTGAAATGAAATAAAACATTACTAGTTTACAGAGGGAGGGCTGAATTTTCATTTTCAAAACGAATCTCAAGATTTCAATGACAGCACCCGTTTCGGTACCCAAGCTGTAAGGACCCATACACTATTAAAACCATGTTGCCTGTTATTTTCATTGTGGATGGTTTTGGAACACCTCAATTGAGATGTTCCACAAAACATGTAAAAATGTACAATCTAGAAAAGAAATGTGGCATGAATACCCTTTAATGACTTTTCTGTGAAGTGGCTATAGTATTGATGTAGCCACTGGGGAATTTCAAGTACATAGACAAAACAAACTTTTTTTTTTTTAATGTATGTAATTAGACCAACGGCCATCACTGAAAAATGCAAAAGGTTTGTAGGACTCCGGTACGGATAGTGTCAATTCCACAACTGATATTGAAACAGTTTCTCCGTAATTAAACAATTGGAGAAGAAAGGTGGTTTATTACCTACTGACAAGGACAGATGCAACACAATCCTTAACTCTCCTAGTACGAAGAGCGACGGATTATGAGGATATAATTCTTCACATGCAGGCCTAGCCAGCGCTACTTTGCATTTGATATTTTACAATTACAACACACTACGACACAAACCTAACAATAAAAGCATTCCAAGACCCAGGAGAGAAATGTAAAGGTTTCTTCCCAGACTAAGAAGCTAGTCTGGAATGGTTCAAGCTCCTGCCTGTCAACTGGTTGTGGAATAAAGTTATGTTGATTATTGCACAGGAAGTCCCTCAAACCTGAGGCTAAATGGGGCATCAGGTCTTTTCTTGCCATACAGCTTCAGTGGTAAGCAGCAGAATTGTTCCTGTCTTGACGTTCACTGCAAAGAACAGCACCCGCTACTCTGTTGACGGCGTCAGGTCTGCAGAGCAAGATCTCCCAAATTCAAGTTTGAAACCTCAGAACAGGTGGTAAGTTTGATTAAGAAAAGAGTCTGTCCTTCCCAGTATTCTGGGAAACAAACATATAAAAAATTCTTAGCATCTGCATTCCCACTTGAAGTGATCATTTTGATGCAAATTGAATTAACTGGAACTTTTGGTTTTTTTTTTTTTAATTTAATGTGAGGTCCTGAATTTCCTGCATCAGCAGAAAGCTCAGCTTAGAAGTATTTATTCTACATACCAAACAAAGAACAGTTATTTTTGCAGTATTTCTGTTCTGTAGTTCAGGAAATATTTGCCAATAAGAGAATGTGGGGGTTTTAAGCATTTATAACTGCTATCTATGGCAGCTAAATACTTCACAGAAATAGCTACCTCTTTCAAAAGCTGCAGTCACCTCTTTGGTCAGTTCTTCTTGTTTAACTGTAAAACAAATTATTTCATTCACATTTTGTTACATACTTAGTACATTTAATATCACTGCATTCTGATTGTGGTGGGAAACTTTTAATTACTACTCATAGTCTTTTGGGAGCTAAGAGAGCTTTCCCTAATATTGCTGTCAATTTTTTTTTATATTATAATTTCAAACATATATTTCTTTGTTTAGGTTTAGGTTTACAGACAGCAATTCCAATGCAAATCAACGGTCACTAACTTCCCAGAAATCTAACTTACTTTTGGTGTATCAGTTTACCCTGTTACAGTTAATTTTCTTCTATTCTACTTAGTTTTTATTCTAGTTACTCTAACTGCTTTTGGCACGCTACTCTTATTGCAAAGAATTAAATACACCAATAAACTCAATGTTTTGGGTATCACCAACAATATAAACAAGAAAGTTGCTTGTTAATAACCACTTAATATAATGGTTGCTAAGTTGAAGAAGGTGAAAGAAATACAATGTCTGTATAAATGAAGAAATTATTTAATGTGGTCAGTCAAGCATTTCAGTAAACTTTATTTTGAGTCGTTCTTTCTTTTAGAACAGTCTACTTGCCCTGATCTGCTGAAGGTTGAATAAGAAGTTCCTTTTTATAGTCAATATATATACACCTATTTTGCCGTTAGAACAGGTTATCTGTTATACAGATTTTTCTCAAGCCAATTTGATGTTCAGGTGGTATAAATTGGTAAAGACAACATTGTTTTTGGGGGGGAAGCTCTTCTAGTGAGTCAATTCAAGACTAACGCAAGTTAGAAATACTAAAAGAAATAGACTGAAAAAGCCTTCAAACAGGCTCTCCTGTCATACAAGATACAGTAAATTAGTTCTGTACAAACCCCTCAAATCATAACCTACCTTTAATTAAAGTTTCAATTTCTTCAAGGATATCCGCATTTTTAGGCTCTGCTAATTTCTCATTAATTTCCATGATTTCCGTGAGAAACACTGAGTCTCCATCACAGTCTGTCTCTTGTGCCGGCTTTACTCCATTCAGCTCCAGCTGGTGAAGAAAATAGGAATTTGGAAATACACATTCTTGCATCTATTTCAATGTGAATTATTTTCTTGAATGTTAAATCTTTTAGTAGGGCTCACTCAGATCCGTATCTGATAAACTTCCGGTTTATTCCATGAAATGTGCATAAACAGAGTCAGTCTGAAAACTAACTCCGTAGGTAGAGCATAAAAATCAGCAGTTAACCAAAGCAAAAAAAGGTAACAAAGGCTGCCAAGGGCCAGACTGAAATTTCAAAGGAACAGCCATGGCCAAACACAATGTGTGATGCAGGAAACAAATTAGCATAACAGGCAGTGAACGAGATGGCAATAATCGGTAAAAGGTTAAAGAAAATAGTGGAAAAGCTGATTAATTTTCAGAGAAGCTTGTTTTCGGTCTCCCTTCAATCCCTCGTGATCCTCTTCAGAGGAACACAAATTAGCATGTTGATGATGGAGTCAAAGGTCTGATTCATTACATTACCACCTGTGATTAGTTATAGGAGTATTGATAAGATACGTAACGGACACCTTACTAGATAGAGGCCACGGCTCAAAGGGTTCAGGAGTGTTTGGTAGGCCTTGTTAATCAAGGAAGAGTGTTGCTCAGAGTAGTACTGTTCTTTCTGCGAATGGACGAGAAATAATAGTAGCAAGGTAATAACAAGCGGCAAAATACATTACACTTTGTTACCTGCAGAGAAATAGTGTTCCCACGACAATACGTGTGCGTAACACTGAAAGTTGAGTTTTAACTGCGATACGAGGAACAGGGAGGCGGCTATCTGGACTTGTAAACTGTGTCATCTCACACGACTAAGATCTCGAGAACCACAGCAGCCCCTCAGCCCCTCATCGTCATCCTCCGCCGCAAATCTGTGAGTAGAAGCCTCCTCCAAGCATCAGGGAACAAAACATGGGGAGTCCCTATAATCCCAGAACGGGAGGGCGGCGGGCTCCCGGCGCTCTCC